TCGAAATTTATGGATCCATTAAATTTTGCTGTTTATACAGTCTTCAAATAAAGTCTAAGTCACACGAATAAGCTAGCATTATTGCCTCCTGCAGATCGAATGTCTGCAAAGGCTGCAAAAATATGTCGTTTTATATCACGTAATTTCTTCCTTTCGGAAATAAAACTAAAGATATGCTGCGAGTTTGTTCTTTCCTTCCTAGAATACAACGGTCCCTTTTTGGTCTGCTGAATGTGTCTAACCGCAGTATGATTTAAAATGTTCAGGGCGTCTTTACGCTTATATTATTTTCTCTTTCTGGATCCAGTATTTCTTATGCGGATATATGTTAGTTAGCGAAAATTACGTTTCTGTGAGTAAGAAAACTAGAAGTCGGCCTATGCTTCCTGTTTCGCGTTAGCATTAGCTCGAATCTCCCACGAATTCAATCTTTCACTCCTCCATAATAATTTCACCACCCCTTAGCTCCACATCTAACCGATCTCTTTTTTTGTCCCCAAATATGCTTTCGTCTGGAATACTCTTTCAATCGAAAGTAGGTCTTCGTCCAAATTATCGATTCTCGAAAGCAAATTACATAAACATTTAAATTTCGAATATATAAAGTCCTTACTGTCCATCTCTTTCCCAAGCACGCAACTTCTGGACTTTTAAAAGGGCACTTCTGGTATTTGAGTTTCTCCCCATGAGAGTAAATTAGTTTCTAAATATGCTTGCATTATCCTCTGCAGAGTCAAGCTTCATCTACAAATGCCACCAACTCTTCTCTATTTTGCAACCCTGACGGTGGTCTTCAAGGTGTCTGTTGATGATCGTCACGGGTTCTTATGTTTTCGCCAGTTTGTCGGTGGACTTTGCAGTCTGCTTGATCCCAGTTCTGCCATTTCAGTGATGTTCTCGTTAATTCTGTTGTCCTCTCTACGGTTCCAAGCTGTTGTCTCCACTGAGCTGACCATGTTGTCCGCGATTAGCTCTTCCTGTCGCACCCCCAGTATGATATATGATATCTCCCATGAAAAGGAACGTTCCAAATCCTTATGCGTTCTCATCAACACCACGATCCCATATTACTGCATCAGCTCAAGCTAATTACAGTAGATTCACTATCTCATGCAATGGCAACCTGAATTCTGAGATGAGTTTTCGATTGGAACATCTTAATTGCGGATGGTTGTAATAGAGATGACCATACAACCTAATGTCAACATATTTTGGACACTTCAGGATGCCGGCTTTTTAAAGAGCCTCTTTTCGACTGCCAAGACAAAGCATATACTATAAAAAGTGACTACTTATGCAGTATGCCTTTTTTCATTAATTTCGACTGCCTTTATAGATTCAAATATATTTTTCGGAAAACATGCGCAAAAAATTATTCCTTGTACCCCTTAGGTAGCAAATTACGCCTTCTTTAAATTGTATACTTAAAGAAAGGGAATCTTTAGGTTTTAAAAAAGTTTCTACATG